AATAATATTTCATACTATGAATGTTAATAGTTCTTTTCACAGGATCTTGATGCCCTATTTTAAGCTGATTATTAATGAAATTTTTTAAATGCATTTACATTGTTGTTTATCAGACATCTGATCTTTCATTCCTTCTTTGGCCCAAGCATCTTAACTAAAAGCCAGGATGGGGCAGGGTTCTGGGTTTTGTAGGGTCACTATGTGTCATTGTCAACTCAATGGCACCTAACAAAAATGATTAGCTTAAGGTTAGTAAAGAGAGCAAACCATCTGTATGCAATTCTTCTTTTGGTGACCAACTTGGAGATAAATATTCAATAGCCAACCAAAATGGTGAGTTTAAAATGATTCTCCATCTGTGCAGAAGTAAATTTAGATAGCTTTCTCTTTTAGGTTTGATAATTCATAAATAATTCTAAAAGGTAAATTTGATTTGGGAGAATTTCTATTCAGGATGTTCCTATGGGATAACTTTTATTGATGTAGATGTCTGTATTTTCCTTGATATATATTTAAATCTATTTTTTCCTTTTAGAAAGAATTCTGGAATAAATACAAAGGTAAGATATGTTTTCTATTTTCATTTTGAAAGAGAGGTTCATAAAATATTGAAAGGGGGGGAATGTGTTTTGAGAGGAACTCTTGAATTTCCTTTCTGTGCCTGTTAAAATCTTAAAATTTTCTCCTTTGAGATAGTTTCACAATGGTTATTATAAAATAGACATAAGATTCTACTTTTGTTGTGTATTTAAAGACATGGATTTAAATAATGTCTTTCTCATTTGATGATACCAAATTCCATGATAAAAAAAAATCCAATTATATTAACTAGAAATAAAAAATAGAACCTGAAATATTGGGGCAGCTAGTAAGGTATTTAAAAAAAATAAGTTGACTTAATGCTTAAAGCATTTGACATTGTTATTAATTTTTACTTTAAATTTTCAAAATTATTATCTAACCTATCTTTGTATTTGATGGTATAATAATACCAAGGACATTATTCTTAGATATCAGTCTTTAAATTGTAATTTTACCCTTGTATCACCTCTTGCCAGGCCGGCCCACTAAAGGCAAGCTTCGTTCTGCCAGCTGGCCCCTTGTTATTAGTAGCTTAGAGCTCCTCACTCTGCTTGAAACTACCAAACAATGCAGCAATACCTGGGGAGGCTTGATCAATAACCCAGTTAAATAAGCAGAACATTGTCAAACACCCAAATTAAAGGTGTCATGTACACAAAGCCACAAAAGGTGGTGATAAAATGAAGTCCGGCTAGGAGTTGTTTACAGGGAAATCAGGAGCAGTGTCAAGTTCATGTAAGTAATCTACAAGATGTGTGCCAAGACCAACACAGTTAAGCCATTTCCACTAGGATGTAAATAGTTTGCAAACTTTGGTTTCTACATTCTTTCTTTGCAGATGGGGACCAGTGTGAAAGCAGTCCTTGTCAAAATCAGGGCAAATGTAAAGATGGCCTTGAGCAATACACCTGCACCTGCTTGGACGGATATGAGGGCAAAAACTGTGAAATATGTAAGTGCCCAATGGAACAATCTTATGTCGTCTCTAATTTGTAAGGCCAATTTAATGCTCTATTCTACTCTACCATTACGTTGTTGTTGTTATGTGCTGACGAGTCGCTTGCGACTCATAGCGATCCTATCTACAACAGCCCTAAAATCTGCTCTGTCCTGTGCCAATCACATTGTCTCTGATACACCCATCCCAATTACCCCAGTCACTGAATCAATCCACCTCATAGAGGGCCTTCCCCGCCTGTGCTGTCCCTCCACCCTACCAAGCATGATGTCCTTCTCCAAGGACCCGTCCTTCCTTACAACATGTCCAAAGTATGTTAGACGGAGCCTCAGAATCCTTGCCTCCAAGGAGCCACCTAGTTTAACCCTTTCCAGGATGAATCTTTATGCTTTCCTAGAAGTCCATAGTACCCTCAATACTCTTCTCCAGCACCACAGCTCGAAGGCATCAATTCTCCTTCTATCCTCCTTGGTCATTGTCCAATCTCTCTGATGCATAAAAAGTGATAGCAAAGACCATGGCCTGTATCAGATGCACCTTAGTCTCCAGAGAGACACCATTGCTTTTCAGTACTTTGGAGAGGTCCCTAACAGCAGACTTTCCCACCGCAATACGTCTTTTAATTCCTGGCTACTAGTGCTAAGAGTGTTGACTGTGGAGCCAAGCAAACTAAAGCTGTGAACAATCTCAATCTCTTCACCATCCATCCTGATGCTGCCAATTGGCCCAGTGGTGAGAATCTTTGTCTTCTTGACATTAACCCTCAGTCCATATTGGAGGCTGCAGCAAACACTTCAGGTCCTCCTCAGTTTCAGCAAGCAGGGTTGTGTCATCTGCATAATGCAGATTGTTGATAAACCTTCCACCAATCCTGATACCACATTTCTCCTCATAGAGCCCAGCCTACCAGATAATCTGTTCTGCATATAGGTTGAAAAGGTATGGAGACAGAACACATCCCTGGCATATGTTCTTCCCAATTTTAACTATGTGGTGCTTCCCTGCTCTGTTTTGATGAATGCCTCTTGGTCCAAGTATAGGCTTTGCATTAGCACAATCAAGTCTTCTGGGATTCCCATTCTTCTCAGAGTCAGCCACAGTTTGCTATGATCCACACAGTCAAACGCCTTTGCATAGTCAATGAAACACAGATAGACATTCCTCTGGTATTCCCTGCTTTCAGCTAAGATCCATCTAACAGTAGCTACAATATCCCTAGTACCACGACCCCTTCGAAACCCAGCCTAGACTTCTTGCAGAAGAGATAAACTGGGTCTTCCAACATACTCATTTTGAGGTAAAATGAAAGAGTCATACATGCCTAAATTCTTCTGAAAGAGAATGGAGAACAGTATGAGACATGATATATATTTACTGATAAACAATTGATTGTTTTTCTTTGAGTAAATGCATTCCTCATCGTTTGTCAAATTCTTCATGATTACATGTGATTCTAAATCACATTTTCACTATCTTTGACAGTATAGACATCAATGGTAACAGCCTGGATTACATATTGATAAGAATTTGATACATTTAATTCATTTTACATAGAAAAATCACTAAGATTTTTTCTAATTGTAGTAATTAACTTTTTCATTAAAAATAAATGGGCTAAAAAATAAAATAAATGAGCTAGCATTAGGCCAGTTTTCTCTAAGGAGAAGAATTAGCATTTCTTTAAGATTAGTTCACTTTATCATCTTTAGGATATATTCCTCAATGGACTTTTCTCCAGTAGGAATATCATTTATGTATCAATACATTTGAAGTCTAGAGCTACCTCTTCTTCTCACCATTTGGCTAACATTGTCAATCAACAACAAATGTGTTCCCCAGGCTGTTACAAATGTTTTCTAAAATTAATCTGTGCACTGCAATTTTTTTCATCAAAAACCAAATAGAGAAATCTAAAATAATTTGCGGTAGGCTTGCATTTTCAAGTTTTATATTCAATATATATTGGGAAGAAGTTGGAGGTTTCTGGCTTCCATGTTTTCTGTGCTTCTAAATTGCATTCAACTCAGTCATAAGGTCCATTCAGATCCGTGGAAATCTAGCAATTTTGAAGGATTCAAAGCTCTAGGTGAAGGCAGTGTGCCATGAGCTTTGCATAGGCCACCTCACCACTTCTGCCCATATAAGGTAATTTTATCTCCTTTGTTTTACAAATGAGGGAACTGAGGTCCATTGACATTAAATTAGTAACCCAAACTCACATAGCCAGTAATGGAAAGAGTTGGAGTCTGGACTTGGGTCAGCTTGACTCCAAGACACATGCCTGAAACCACCTCACTGCTCATGGTTCCCTCCTGTGGGAACTAAATGCAGTTCTCAGTCTCCACGATACACATTTCCATACTGTGATACATTATGCCTTCCTGCCCTGTCTGTGGCACCCTGTGTCATGTTTCTCCGTATATCCCTGAAGCATTTTTAGCGTATAGTCTTGTTCATCTATACTCAGTACAATAGCTAGTACACAGAGGATACACAGCAACGGAGTTTGTTAGCAAAATGAGCAAATAAAGAACAAGACTTCAAAGAAAACCTCACCTAATTGAAACACAGAGTCAAAAACTAATTTACCACCAACCAACTTTTTTAACCCCCTCATCAGAGAGTAAACAAGGCCCTCTGTGTGCCTTTGTTCTTGTCTGAATTGCCACAGTAACTGATGGGATTTGAGTGAACAAAACAGCTACTCTGGCAAAGAATTTTCTGAAGTAAACCCTGTTTAAATAGTAGAGCCTGTAAACAAAACTTACCAGGCTTCATGCCCAAATTAGAGTTTTCATGACATGAATGAACGACCACAACTTTAATCCATCACCTTTAACCAAACTACAAACTAGACACCCAAGAGGCTAGTAATGGGTTTCTGGGTATCTCAAGTAAATCCAGGCCACAGCGGAGCTCTGGTGACATAGTTGATATGAATTCACCTAAGGCCGTCTAGGGGAAGCTAGGCAATCTCTTCTCATGCAACAAAAACCCACTAGAGCATCAGCTATAAGTCAATCCTGACTCCACAGCAATAAGTTTGGAATTTGAGGGGAACCGAACAGTTGATGGTTTGGATCCACCTGGCTGTGCTGCAGAACAAAGGCCTGGCAATCTACTTCTATAAGATTACAGCCATTCAAGAACCTACAGGGCACAGTTCTCCTCTGAAACACATGGGCTGTCATGAGTTGAAACCCATTTGACAGCAGTGGGATTTTCGGGGTTTTTTTCTAGTCTCCTCACCACCTGCCAAGCCCAAGGAAACCACACCATAGTCACTGAGTGTCTTTATTCCAAAAAGAATCAAGTGAATTTATGGTTGGAAGGGACCTCTGAGGCCACTGAGCCCCAGCCTCTGTTTGAACACATTGTATCCAGAGAGCCCACTCCTCATTCAGGCAGGTGTGCTGAGGTTAGATGACTAGGAGAAGGTGAATGAGTGCCCCAAGGAAAAAACACACAACCAGTCGGCGGTCAGCTGCTGAGGTTACCAGCACAGAGCTCTCTTCAGATAAAAAGGCATACTTTAATAATGAACATGCAAAATGAAGAAAGGACAGTTGAGTGGACAGGTCCTGAAAGGCAGCACCCTCAAGGGCCACACACTTCAAAGGAAACCTCAGCTAACTGCAGGCTACACAGAATCAAAGCCTGATTTGCTACCAACCAATTTTTAACCCTAATCACAGAGTAAACAAGGCTACTCTTATCATTGCATGGGTTTGTCTGAATTGCTAAAAAAACTGATGAGATTTGTTCTCTGAAGGATCTTGGTGTGGTGGTAGGGGCTCAAACATTAATAGGGGGACACTTTATTTCGTGGGCTCAGGAACTCTTGAATTTAAAGCAAGTGGCTGCAAATTGCAGGTCTGGGAGCATGGGGATTGGCAGGAACGATCCCATGTGTGTGTCACTTTCCTTCTGAAGGAAGGCTGACCAGCCCCAAGCTCCTGGCCACCTCAACCTGCTTTCCTAGTCATGTCCTCAGGCTCAACACGAATCTCTCTTGCATAGCCTTACGGAAATCCTGCAGCCTGGACAACGGAGACTGTGAGCAGTTCTGCAGTGAAGAGCAGAATGATGTGATATGTTCCTGTGCCAAGGGGTATACCCTGGGTGACAATGGCAAGTCCTGCGTCTCCAAAGGTAGGAAGAGTGTCTGAGGCCACAGCACAGCAGGGCTCCTGGGGTCAGGGTGGATGGAGAGTCTCCAGACTCAAGGGAGCAAGGCTGGTGCTTGGTGGGCAAATCCGACCCAGAGCATCCTGGGAGTGCTTGCAGGTGACGTAGAAGCTAGAGGAATGAGAGCATCTGGAGTCTGGGGCCCAGATAGTTGTGTTCAGACATGAATACTGAAAGCTTTAGAACAAACAAGCCTATTATTTTTGTGAACCAAATAAATGATTTAATTTTAATTTTCTCATCTGAAAACTGAATGTCACTAGCTACTGTCAACATTTCCATTCATGACAACCCTATGTGTGCAAAAGAGAACAGCACTGTAGGGCATTCAAGGCTGAGACCTTCTAGAAGCAACTTGCCAGGCCTATATCCTAAGGTGCCCCTGTGTGGAATCGAACTATCAACGTTTCAGCTAGCAGTCGAGTGCTTAACCATTTGCACCACCCATGAAGGCCTATCTGACATATGAGAGTCATGTTACCTGACTCCTTGGGAGAGTTAGGAGACAACTGGTATAAAGCATTTTGCATAGTACCTGACACAATAAGCTCTACAGAACTATGTAAATAAGGTGATGATGTCTTGCTAATGCAAAGAACAACTAAAATGCTCCCTATGCCCTCTACGGAACAGTAGAGAACATAGAGAGTACTGAAGTTGTCTCTGGGTGACACAAACAACTAACTGTTCAGCTACTCACAAAAAGGTTGGCTATTCAAATCTATCTAAAGGTGCCTCAGAAGGAAGACTGGGTGACCTACCTTTAAAAAAGTGAGTTGTCCAAAACACTAAGGAGCTCAGTTCCCCTTGGACACACAGATGAGGTCAGGTGGAGTGGAAAAGACACAGGTCCTCAATCACGGATGTGAAGATGGTGCAGGTAGAATGGGAAGAAGTGGATCAGGACAACAAGAACCAGGAGAACTATAATAATGAATCTCAAATTCTTTTTGCTCCAGGACAAAATGAATTTCTTTTCTTTTTCTTTCATTATAATCAGACTCTAGTAAGTCTGGCTTAGAACCTCACTCAACCCAGACTCACTGCCATGAAATCCGTTCCAACTCATGGTGACACAGCAGAGCCAAGTAGAACTACTCTTCCATAGTTTCTAAGACTGGAAATCTTTACAGAAACCTCATCTTTCTCCCTCAGACAAGGAAGTCTTGAACTTCCAACCTTTAGGTTGGCAGTTGAATCCTTTAACCATGCAGAATCTCATATGCGGTCTTTCTTACTATGGTCCAGAGTCAAAGCAACCCTCTAGGTTTCTGAGGGGGAAATAGAAATTCAGATTACTGAGGCTATAAATCACATAAGAGGAGACTGTCTATTTTTCACCTGAGAAACTGACGGTGGATTTGAACCTTGAGAAAGGCATGGCATTTGGGTTAGCAGGACAACTTCCTATAGATCACACCAGGAAAGAAAAAGAAAATTATGGGGACTGAGAAGGAACTGCAATTTGGTCCCTAGAAGTGGTGATTCCTGCCTCTAACCACAATAAGAAATTATTTAATTGGTCTCTAACCAACTGGACCCTCCACTGATATGGAAATGAATACAGGCCAAAGAGTTTCTAAATGTCAAACTTTCTGTGTAATTAAATCTACTTCTCAGTCCTCAGACTGATCCTAACTTGCTACTCAAAACGTACTTCCCTAACCAACCATTTTTTGCATCGCCTGAAAGTTTGTTGTAGAGTGCAGAAAGTTCATCCCAGAGGGTGCAGAAAGTTTATCCTAAATCACAGCTGCTTCATATGGCAGAACAGCATTGTCCTAAGGGTTCTCTAAAATATAGCACACGGGATCACCATGAGTCAGAATAGGCAAGACGGCAAACAACATGCTCTTTGTTAGATGTTATACAAAGCTCTACCATATTACTTTCTTTCAGGTTGCTCACACAGTGTTGCCTCTTGCCTGCAATATTATCTTTTGGGTTTTTCCTAACATTCCACTAGCAAATTTTTCAAGCATAAAGTAGAAAGAGTTCTACAAGTGAGCACCTATTCCCAACCCCCCATCATCCTGGACCCGATTCTTAATATTTTACTATCCTTACTTTGAAGACTTTGGTGGTGGAAATTTTCTTTGAGTGGCAGAAATGATTAATACACTTGACTGTTAACAAAGCCTTGGAAGTTCAAGTTCACCTAGAGGTATCTTGGAAGAAAAGCATGGCAGTCGACTTATGGATGATCACAGCCAGTGAAAACCCGATAGAGCACAGTTCTACACTGACACACATGGGTTTGCCTTGAATTGGAATTAACCTGATGGCATCTGGACCATTCTATTTGCTTTATCATCTTATCTATCTTCTATAGCTGACCCCTCCAGTGAGTTTCCAGCAGCAGTAAATCACCCCAGAGGAGATTGCCCATCTTTCTCCCATGGAGCAGCTGGAAGATTCAAACCATGTCCTTTTGCATTGGCAGGGCAATTTCTTACCTCTAAGCCACCAGAGCTCCCTATGTACTCATTTATTTCTTCAGTTTATTTTATTCTCAATTATGGTTTACATACAAAATTTAAATACATTGTGTATCATTCACGTATATTGCATTTCACACACTCCTACATTCATAGTTTCAAACAGTCTCTCATATACATTTACATTTTGTTTATAAAATTAATCATCATTCATCTATGACTACTATAACCTGATCTTTTCAGGTCCACATTGGATCTTTCCTAATTCCTTCACCCCTGCCCTCTCCACTCACCAAAGTCTGTTAGTCTAGTGATTTCCTCCCTCCCCACCCTTTGTTCCCTTCCTCCTCCCCCAGCTATTGTACTGCTGGGACTATATTCCAAGAGAAATAGAACTGAGACACAAACAGAGATTTGTACACCTATGTTCATAGCAGGATTGTCACGATAGGAAGAAAATGTAAACAACACAAATGTCTATCAACAAACGAATGGGTTGAGAAATTGTAGTATATTCACACAATGGAACTACACAGCACCCAGGAGAAATTATTTTGAAAAAATATTACATTACTTGGGAAAGGCTGGAAAGCATTATTCTTAATGAACTAACTCAGTCTCATAAGGACAAATATTGCATAAGACCATTATTGTAAAAATAGAATAATAACTAGTAAGATGTAAAGTCCTAAAGCCATCTTTTTTAATTTCAGCATAAATTGCAGAAATCTTGTGACTTCTCATTCACCATTTCGATATACCTACTATTATGGATTATTGCTATTGTTCAATACCATTTAATTGTTTCTGATGCATAGTGACCCTATATAACAGTGCCCAGCTGTATATTGTCTTCACATTGTTGCTGTGTCTGATTCCTTTATTGTACCCATTGTGGTAATCCCTATCTTTGAGAATTGCTTTTGGTTTTTTTTTTTCTGACCAAAATATGAAGCATGAAATATTCCTCCTGGGGTTGGCCCATCCTAATAACATGTCCAAAATTTGAGAGACAAAGTCTGGTCATCCCAGCTTCTAAGGCTGTGATTCTTTGAAGATAGATTTTGTTATGTTGTTGCTGTTAAGTGCCATCAAGTCATAGATAACTCATAGCGACCCTATGAATGAATGAAAGACCTGAACACTTGTATAACTTTCATTGTTTCTCCAAGTTCATAGAGTTTCTGGAGGCAAGCTGTTTCGGAATTGGATACCACTCCTGCTTCCAAGCTTGTTTTAATTGGGGAGCTCCACCAAAAACTGTCCACCATGGGTAACCATTATCACATTTGATACATCAGTGTCACAGTGTTTAGCATCAAAGCAACTATGAGCTACCTCTGTACAGCAGATGGACAGACCAGAGCTATATCACTTAGAAGAATGTTTGACCAAAAACAATTAAATGCCTTTTTAACTAGGAGGTCAAGGACAATGAACTTACAGCCAGTAAACAAAATAAAAAATCAGAGTCTTACCAGAACCAAAAATCAAGGATTTTGCTATAGAAGTACATAATAAAGTAGTCTTTGCCAAGACTGAGATTCAAAGGCACAAATCTTTTTTCTTGGATTTTCCTTATTCGTTGTCAACATCTCTCACCCATCTGAGACAATTAAAATGGCATGGCTGGGATCAGGTGCACCATAGTAGTCAAAGAGATATCATCACTCTTTTGACACTTTTAAAAAGGTCTTTGGCAGCAGATTTACTCAATGGAGTATAGCATTTCATTTCTTAAATGCTGTTTACATATCTGATATAACACTGTAAGAGAAATGAAAAATCCTCAACAACTTCAATCTTTTCTCCATTCATCATAATGTTTATTGGTCCAATTGTGAGGATTTTTGCTTTGCTTTGATGGCCTAGTGACAACAAGCTGCCCTGCAATCCTGAAGGCATGTGGTCCAAATCCACCAGCTGTTCTTCAGAAGGATGGGCAATCTCTTCCCATGTGATTAACTGCCTCTGAAAACTCATCAGAGGGGTCAGCTATGGGTCATTCTGACTTGAGGGTACACAACAACAACAACAATATGGAAATGTAATTCACACTGAAGGCTAGAATTTTAGTCAAGGATATTTTCATATGAGGGCAAATCATAATACAATGAAATGCACAAATCTGATGTGAACTTTGTTCATTTTTAGCTATTGTATTCACCTATGCAATACAAACCCTGTCAAGATATATATTATTTTCCTCCCAAAAAGTTCCTGCATACCTCATTCCAGTTACTTAAGAACCCTCTTGTCCCTCACTCTTTATCGCTCCCATTTTTTTAGATGCGGAAAGTGCAGCTCAGAACTACAAATTAGGCTGTCCAAAACCACACTCCTTTGCTAATATATCCACGCTGGACATTCCCCCAAGGCCCCTCTAACTCGAAAGCTGTGTTTGTTCTACTCTGTAGTGAATGATGTATGTGATTTACCTAATATATCTAGGGCTGTTCTTTTTTCTTTTAGAGCCTTTCCCTTGTGGAAAACGCACAATAGGACGAAAGAAGAGGTCTTTATCCCAGGTCGACAACAGTGGAAGTTTCCCTGTGAACTCCACCCTGGATGACTATGGTCCTACAGAAGAGCCTTCTGACCTGCTCTCCTCCAATCAGACAGAAGACGAATCTAGAGATCTCATACGTATAGTGGGAGGAGAGGAATGCAAACAGGGGGAGTGTCCCTGGCAGGTAACTATGGCCATGTTCCCTCTGTCACTTAACATCTCCAAATCAAGCTTTAACTAGATCACCATCAGTTCCCCCCCCCAAAAAAAAATACAACCAAAACCAAACCCCACATGCATGGGTCATAAAAGTTGAGCTCTTGGCTACTATCTAAAAGGCTGAAGGTTCAGACACACCCAGAAGCACTGTCTTCTTCCCCTTCCTTTGTTCACTTCTCACCTTATTTCCCCTGCCCTGTTTTGCCCCCTTCTCTCTGCCTTTTTCCTTCCCTAATTGACAATACTTATTATGCTTCAAAGAGCTGGACAATGACTAAGGATGACAGAAGAAGAATAGATGCCTTCGAGTTGTGATGCTGGAAAAGAGTCTTGAATATATCATAGACTTGGAGAGGGTGAAACAAGTCTCTCCATGAAGGCTAGGATTTTGAAGCTCTGCCTCACTTACTTTTGGGCATGTGGCCAGGAGAGATCAGTCCTTGGAGAGGCACATCATGCTTGGAAGCATGGATGGACAGTGCAGGAAAGGGAGACCCCGGGTGAAATGGACTGAAACAAGAACTGGGGCAATGGGGGTTGATGTGTCAGAGTTAGTGAGTCTGGTGCAGGACAAGGAAGGGTTCAGAGCTGCTGTACATAGGGTCATTGGCACATAAGAACAATAACATACTATGACAGGTTTGGAAGCAGGAGTGGCATCCACTTCCTAAATAACATGCGTCTGGAAACTCTATGAACTTTGATATGTTGATAGTTGTAGAGGAGCTTCAGGTCTTTTGTGCATAGGGTCACTGTGAGTCATGCTCAACTGGAAGGCAATCAACACCAACAATTGAGAAGGAAGCTTTCCAATATTTACTGCGTACCTCTCCTATGCTTGGTGCTTTTAAGGATAGCTTTTAAGGATAGTTAAGTTGTGAACTACTCACCAAAAAGTTGGGGTTCAGACCCATGCACTTCAAAAAGACAGGCCTGCCAACCTGCTTCTGTGAGGCCATAGCCTTGAAAACCCTATAGCGCAGTTCTACTTTGCTCATATGAGGTCACGTGAGTCCAGACAGATTGGACAACAACTAACAATAGTACAGAGTCAAACTTGGTACAAAGGTGAGACACAAGTTTTCAAGTCTTTGAGAATCAGCAATCTATGACACAGATGTGCCTCAGAAGGAGCCAGTCTTGAGCACATCTCAAGACTGAAGAGTGTCCCTTCATTCTCCACCACTGTGAACTCTGAGAGCTTTAAACCCTATAGGTTAAATGAGTGCTAAGACACAGAGGTAGGGGTTAAATGAGTGCTAAGACACAGAGGTAGGAGGAGAAGATCAAGTGCCAAGAGGGAGATTTTAATCATTTCCCACTGCCCACAAAGCCACCAATCACCTCAAGAATAGGTTTGAGGCACTGAACACTGATGACTGAAGATCAGTTGTGGGATGACACGAAAGATCTCATTCCTGGAAAAAGCAAAAGGCCCTTATAAAGATAAAGAAGGAAGAAAAGACCAATATGGATATCAGAAGAGGCTCTGAACATTGTATTACAGCATCAAGAGGACAAAACAAAGGGAAGAGATAAACAGAAGAGTTCAAAGAGCAGCTTAAGAAGACAAAAAAAAAAATAAAAAAAAAAAGAAGACAAAGCAAAGTATTATAAAAGGAATATTCAAAGAGCAGGAATTGGAGAATAAAAAGCGAAGAACTAGTTTGGCATTTCTCAAGTTGAAAGACCTGAAAAACAAATTCAAGTGTCAGGAAAAATCGTGAATGATTCAGGAAGCATCAAAAGATGATATCAAAAGAGGGAATACATGGAGACACTGTGCCTTGACTGACACTGAAATATTTCAGGAAAAAGAGCCAATGATGATGATGGAAGAAGTTAAAAAGTCTTCACCACAGGGCAAATAGGCAACATCATGATAGAGAAAAGATTAAATTTGTTAGTGATTTCATCTTTGATAGCCAATGAACAACTTTGGTGGCAGCAATCAGGAGATCAGGGGATGTATATAGCATTGACAAAGTCTGCTGTCAGGGACCTCTCCCAAGTACTGAAGAGCAATAATGTCAGTTTGAAGATTAAGCCTGATTCAAGCCATGGTCTTTTCAATCACCTACTCTGCATCTGAGAGCTGAACATAGAATAAGGATGACAAAAGAAGAATTGATGCCTTTGAGTTGTGGTATAGAAGAGTACTGAATAATATCCCATAGATTGCCAAAAGGACTAATAAATATGTCTTAGAGAGAGTACAATTAAACAGAGTATTCCTGGAGGATGGCCAAGTTTTGTCTCAGATACTTCAGGCATGTTTCTAGAAGAGGCCATTCCTTGGAAAAGGACATCATGCTGGAAAAGGTGGAGGATCAGTGGAAGACTGGAAAACCTTTAATGAGAAGTTGACACAGTGACTTTGAGAGTGGGCTCAAATGTGTTGGGAATGATACGGATGGCACAGGATAGAACAGGGTTCAGAGCTGTTGTTCATAGGATCACTGTGAGTCATACTGGGCTCAACAGCACCTAACAATAACCACAACAGAGTCCATGAAGTCACACCTGACAAATACTTTCTCCAAAGACCATCTGACTGTTAGTAGATGTCATCAAGCCAGTTCTGATTATAATGACCCTATTATGTACAACAAAATGAACCCTACTTAGTCCTGTACTATGCTCATAATTGTTATTAGACTTGAGCTCATACAGTCACTATGTTAATCTAGATCATTGGATGTCTTCTTTTTCATTAACCTTCTGCTTCACCAAGCATGATGTTCTTCAGGAACTGGTCGCCTCTAACATGCCCAGTGTATATGAGATGAAGTCTCACTATCCTTGTTTCCAAGGAGCGTTCCGACCACACCTCTTCCAAAACTGATTTGGTTGTTCCTCTGACCATTCATGGTATATTCAATATTCTTAGCCAACATCAATTATTCCTTGGTCCTTCTTACTCATTGTTCAACTTTCATGTGCATGCTGTTGTTATGTGCCGTCGAGTTGTCTGAGACCCATAGAGACCCTATATATCGCAGCACTGAACCCTGCCCTGAGCCAGTCTCACTTAATTCTGACAAACCAACCCCACCCCTCCCCATTGCCCACTACTGGAGTCAAACAACCTTACTCCCCAAAGGGATATTTTTACTCTAGCCCTTTAAAGAGGTCCTCTGCAGCAGATTTTCCTAATCAACAAGTCATTTGCTTTCTTAACTGCTGCTTCTGTGGGTGTTGGTTATGGATTCAAGTAAAATGAAATCACCTGCCTATTCAGGAGTATCAACTGCAGGCACATCAGCAACTAAAGTGATTGCCATAAGTGGGAAAAACAACAACTCCCTCCAAGACATTGAAAAACATGCATGGCATTCCAGCGATAATAAGGACAGCTTCAGAGGAAAAGACACATGGGGAAAACATGAGAGGGCCATCCTCACGTGGCCTCGCACTTGGCACATACTAGGAATTTAGTAAATGTTGGTTGGAGAAATTGTCACTTTATTAATTGTTTTCTAAAGCAAAGACAAAGCAGGGTTGATACAGATACTAAAATCGTGCTGTAGAGCTTCAAAGAGTGATTTGTGGGACCAAAGTTGGGAAGGTTCCATGGTTAGGCAAGAGGGAACAGGTGGGGCAGTCGACATGCTACACAGAATTCTCAGGGTGGTAACCAGATGGGGTAAAGGTTTAAAACTCTGGATTGCAACCATGTTAGGCAGCAACAAGGAAGGAGATACAGGTGAGTAAAGCAGAATTAGTAGCTTTGGGCCTTATATTCCAATATAAAATGTTGAGGTTTGATTCCAGAGACATAGAAGATGGAGGAAGACAAGTTTTTAAACAGGGGAAAGGACAACAGAGGGCAGGATGACAGGAAAGGAAAAGTCCTTCCGGTGGAGCTCTAATTAAGGTGGGACATGAGACCACCATTGTTAGGTGGAAGAAATGGGAGGGGAAATTTGAGTTGAGGGGACAGTGGAAAATACACATTAGAAAAATAAAAGGGGGAGGAAATAAAGGCTCTTTTCAGTTTCTCTTCTTAGATGAAAGACTAACAGAATCTGCCTAGCCTTCTTTGCAGGCTAAGTTGTTCCCAAGCTTTCACCTAGCTTTGCAGACCCAACCCTAGAATCACTAACTTTCCCACTGCAGGCTTTACTCGTAAATGAGGACAATGAAGGTTTCTGTGGAGGCACCATTCTGAGCGAGTACTACATCCTCACTGCGGCGCACTGTCTCCACCAAGCCAAAAGATTCAAAGTGAGAGTAGGTAAGTGATTGCCCCTCAGCACCCCACAGGCACCACAGAAAGGGGTAACAACTGTATCACTTATTTATACACTATTGTTGTTGTTATGTGCCATCGTCAAGTAGGAACTCACTCATAGCTGACCCTCCAGTAAGTTTTTTTTAAGCTTTAAGCAACAGAAGGGAAATGCCCATCATTGAGTGTCCCATGGAGTGGCTAGTGGATTTGAACTGCAGGACTTCGAGTTGGCAACATAACTCTTTTCCACTAGGCCATCAGACCTCCCTAGGCCTCACAAATAAGGAGCTCTAGTTGGGGCCCTTTTGCTACCAAACTCTGAAATATTGCTTAATAAAAAAATACAGTGTGAGCTATCAGTTCCATCCACATAAGCCATTTTTGGTGCAGTACTTACATATTGGGCTGCTGACCAAAATGTCGGTAGTCTGAATTCAGCAGCTGCTCTGAGGGAGTGGGGTGAGCACTCTCCCACTGCTAAGATTAACAGCCGGAAACTTACTGGAAGTTGATCAAGTCAGAACTGACTTGACAGCAGAGCCTGTGGCCATGTTCAAAACAGCAGAAAAAAAACTTTAGGTGGTACTATTTCATCATTGAACTCTCAGCATCAACTTATTGCCATCGAATTCAAACTGCCTCATAGCTCACCCTCCACTGATTTTTCAAGAGACACATGGGAGGAGATTGCTCATCATTCTCCCCTAGAATCACTGGTGGATTCAAACCATCAGAGAAGCACAGCCCTTGGATTACTACCACCACAACTCTCTATGAACTAGACACCATACCTCCATTTAATATAATATATAAAATATCACCAAAAGATATGACCAAAGATTGTTCTGTGTGTGTATATATGTACATACATACATACATACATAGTGCATATTCTGATGGTGGTGTTGCTACATACCATCAAGTCAGAACAATCATAGCTGATCCTCCACAGGGGGATAAATTATGTGGGAAGGGATTGCTCATCTTTCTGTTGGATTTGAACCACTTGCCTTTGACTTGGTAGTGCAACTCTTACCACTAAGCCACCAGAGTTCCCTAACGTATATTCTAGAATACTGAAATTACAGGTAATTTTTATTTGCTTCTTTATGCTGTCTCTACTTTTTAAATTTTCTAAAATAACTACCACTTTTTAATCAGGAAAGAAAATTTATTTTACAAGTAACCAAAATTTTTTTTCATTTCAGAACATAGTTTTATTTAGTATATATTACAAAGGTGCTATAGTAGAATCTTTGGGTTGCAGTGAGCACGTTAATTACTTATACTATTCAGAGATGCTAAATGCCGTGTCATCAGCACAACTAATTACTATTATATTTCTTATCACCTCTCAGGTGATCGGAACACTGCGAAGGAAGAAGGTAATGAAAGAGAACACGAAGTGGAACTGATAATAAAGCACAACAAATTTGTTCTTGACACCTATGACTATGACATCGCTGTCCTAAGATTGAAGACACCCATCACATTCCGGATGAACGTGGCTCCTGCCTGCTTACCCGAGAAGAACTGGGCGGAATCAACGCTGATGACTCAGAAAACGGGAATTATCAGCGGGTTTGGGCGGACCCATGAGAAGGGCCGAATGTCTACCACCCTCAAAATGCTGGAAGTGCCCTATGTGGACCGAAACACGTGCAAACTGTCAAGTAGTTTTGCAATCACTCAAAATATGTTCTGTGCAGGCTACGACTCGAAAACTGAAGACGCCTGTCAGGGAGACAGCGGGGGTCCCCATGTCACTCGATTCAAAGACACCTATTTTATTACTGGCATTGTTAGCTGGGGAGAAGGATGTGCGAGGAAAGGAAAATATGGAATCTATACAAAAGTCACCTCCTTTCTCAAGTGGATAGATCGGTCAATGAAAACCAGGCCGGGAGTCCAACGGAGGCCTCTAGCCGTCTGATCTTATGTTTGGACTCTTCAATCCATTAATTTCAGATAGTTTTCTTTAAAGCAGTTCCACTCTAAGACCTTGGAAACTGTTTGGTGTTTTGCTTTGCTTTACTTTGTTTGCTTGGTTTATTGTTTTTAAATACTTAACTTGGGGGAAGGGATTGTATAACACCTGTGTAACAGTGAAAGAATTTTTCTATTACTTTTCAAAGAGAAGAGCCACTTGGGAGGAGGGAGGGGTGGGCAGGGAGAAAAGTGCAACAATGAATGAATGGAAATCCTCTGTAATCTTTCATTAAAATTAATAATAATTTAAAAAGTTAAAAAATAACCATTTTGAACCCTGTGAACAACAGATCTGAACCTTGCCCTATCCTGTGCCATCTTTGCCATCTCTGATACCATCATATAATTAAAGTCACTATGACAGTTGATCTTGTTGAAGGTCTTTCTCTCCTTCACTGACTCTCCACCTGTCCCAGCATGATTTCTTTTTCTAAGGACTAGCCCCTCTGAAAACATGTCCTACGTGTGAGACAGTTTCACCATTTTTGCCTCTGAGAATCGCCCTGGTTGCACTTCCTCTGAGACAGATTTGTCTGTTCATCGGGCAGTCGGTGGGATATTCAGTACTCTTCTCCAACACCACAATTCAGAGGCATCAATTCTTCATGCTAATTCATTAGCCAACTTTCACATGCATATGAAGCAATTGAAAAGACCCCATGACTCAGATCCAGTGTACCTTAGTTTTTAAACTGAGTTCCTTGCTTTTTAACATTTTGTTAAGGTCCTTGACAATAGTTTCCCAAAGCAACACGACTTTTGATTTCTTGAATGCTTTTGAATGATTATATATCCAACTAAGATTAAATAATTGACAACTTCAGTCTTTTCTCAATCTATCATACTGCTGCCTATTGGTGCAGTGGTGACGATTCTGAATTCCAATATGAAGGTAGGAAATAAACAGTAATGCTTGCCAAAGAGCTCTGGTGGCATAATGGTTAAGTGTTTGGCTCTTAATTGAAAGACTGGCAATTTGAACCCACCCAGTGGATCCTCAAGTCAACCTCAATTTATGGCATGTGTGTCAGAGTACAGTTGTGCTTTATAGTATTTGCAATGGCTGTGATCATTCAGCATGTGTTTGCCAGGCCTTTCTTCTGAGGTACTTCTGAATAGATTTAAACCAATGTTTCAGTCTGTCGCTGAGTCCTTAACCACTTGTATCACCTGGTAAATTCTTGAGTCTAATCTTTTCCTGTAAAGGAAGGGAGGACATTCTTATTTGGAACACTAACGCTGCCTTCCCCTAGACAGGTTGTTAAAGTTCTTCTGGAAATGTTATGCTTTAATAGAAAAGTCCGCTCCTAAAAACTATGTTGTTGTTATGTGCCATCGAGTCGTTTCTGACTCATAGCAACCCTATGCACAACAGCTCTAAACCCTGCTCTATCCTGCGCCAACCGCACCGCCTCTGACACACCCATCCCGATTACCCCAGTCACCGAATCAATCCATCTCATAGAGGGTCTTCCCCTCCTGCGCTGTCCCTCCACCCTCCCAAGCATGATGTCCCTTTCCAAGGACCCGTCCCTCCTGGCAACATGTCCAAAGTATGTCAGACAAAGCCCCAGAATCCTTGCCTCCAAGGAGTAGCTTGGTTTAATCCTCTCCAAGATGTATCTGTTTGTTTTCCTGGCAGTCCATGGTACATTCAGTACCCTTCTCCAGCACCACAGCTCAAAAGCATCCACTCTCCCTCTGTCCTCCTATAATCAAGGTATTTCTTGTTTGTAGAGCGTTTTTCTTTTCTGATTGGCCCAGACTGTCCAACCTTAGCCAACTATACTTAGGACATTTGAGAAAAATGGCCAAGGTTTTTATGAGCACTGATAACAAGATAGAATCGGGACACCCAGCAGTCTGGGGGCACGTGCAGCTCCTGTGCAACATCACCCTCAGGGTCACAGAGTTCCCAGAGTGCCAACATCACTTCCCTGCGTGCAGGTCACTTTCCCACTTGGCCTGGATTTTCCTTGTTCATATCTGCTGTGAACTAGACAAGAGCGGTGAAATGCTTCTCTGGGTGACTATTGTAAAATGCAGTTACTGGTTAAGAAAAGGCCCAGCAAGCTGCACAGCATGAATATTTTTAACTGATTCAGATAAATAATTGAGTCATTCTTCAGGCTGACTTCACATTAGAATCACCTGAGAATCTTTAAAAAAATACCAATTGCAAATGTCAGAATTTCCAGCTGAGCTGTTTTTCTTAAGTGTCACAATATATAATCTGTCTACTAACTGAAAATTAAGCAGTTCGAATTACCAGTAGCTTCATAGGGGAAAGATAGGCAGTCACTTCCCCAGCCTCAGAAACCCAATAGGGGGTCACTATGAATTGGGACCAACTTGATAGCAATAGGGTTTGTTGTATTGTTGGGTTTTCCCCCCTCTCTGTGGCACAAGTCAGTCTGTTTTACATGGTTAAGGTCCTGGCATTGTCTCCTACACACCAGCTGACAACTAAGCCCTCCAGTACCATGGTTCTCAGCTTTGGCTACTTATCATAATCATCTAGCTATAGCCAGATCGAGGAAATTGGAATCTCTGGAGTAGAACCCAGGCATCGGTAGTTTTAAAAATTTCTCACATGATACCAATGTGCAGTCATGGTCGAAGGTAGAAAATAAAGGGTGGTACATAGGAAACTCTGGTTGCTTAATGGTAAGGAATTGCACTCTTAATCCAAAAGCATACAGTTTGAATTCATCAGTTGCTCCATGAGGGAAATGTGGGCAATCTCCTCCCATGTGATTTACTGCCTCTGAAAACTTAATGAAGGGTCAGCTATGGCTCAGTTCCAATTCTACAGAATCAACAACAATAAGATGCACCAAACGGGAGCTCTGGTGGCCAAGTGTCAAGGAGTTGCACTACAAACTTAAAGGCAGGTAGTTCGAATCCACCAGCTACTCTGCAGAAAAAAGTTGGGCATTCTCCTCTGGTGGGATTTATAGCCTCTGAAAACCCACTGGAAGGTTAGCTATGAGTCAGTTCTGATTCAATAGCACACAACAATGACGTACCAAGGAGTTCTAGTGCCCCTTATGGCACAACTATTAAATGCTTGAGTGTCAGCTGCAAAAGTTGATAGCTGGAGAAAGATCTAGAGAACTGCTCCCATAAAGAATACAGGCTACAAAGATTACATTTGTATTCTGTCACATGAGTTTATTATGATTTGAAATTGACTTGACAGCACCTAACATCAAATTGAATCAGAAGAAAGATTGTCATGAGGGGTGCTCTCCATCTATAAAAGAAAAACTAAATCCGTTTCCATCACTTGACTCTAACTCATCGAGACATATGTCTAAGTGGAACTGTTCTCCATAGGTGGCTGGAATTTACACCATCTGTTTATAAGCAGCCAAGCATTAACCATTTGCACCATCCAGAGGTTTCTCTTTCCTCAATTTAATCAGCCCCTATTGTTTTTCCTTTAACCCAACTTCAGTTAATTACAATGTCTAACCAATCCTTTATTGTACATCTATCACTATTAAACAAAAAAGTAGCTGTCAAGTAAGTTGGACTCAAGTTCCTGGATGTCATAAATAATTACATATTTGATGACTGATCAAAAGATTAACAAATTTATACAGACGAAAAGTAAGTATGATCTTGGCTGAAAACAGAGAGTACTAGAGGAATGGTATTTTACTGTATAGATCACAACAAATTGTGGCTAACCTTGGGAAGAATGGGAATCCCAGAACATTTGACTGAGCTCATAAAAAACCTATAATTGGGACAGGAAGCAGTCATCAGAATGGAGTAAGAAAACACTACAGTTCAAAATCAGGAAAGGAGTGCATCAGGAATTCATCCTGTTTTTATACCTTTTCAATCTGCATGCAGAACATATCATTTGAGAGGCTGTACTTTATGAGGAAGAATATGGCATCAGGATTGGATGTGGCATCATAAAAAAACCTGTGTTATGCAGCTGAAATTGAGAAGGGCCCAACATCCTTGCTGCAGAGGGTCAAGGACTATAGTCTGCAATATAGATTTAAGCTCAGTATCAAGAAAATGAAGATTCTCACCATGGGACTGAACCAATTGGCAGCATCATGATTGATAGAGAAGGGATTGAGATTGTTAAAAATTTCAGCATGCTTTGTTCCACAATCAACACTCTTGGTACTAGCAGTCAGGAAATCAAAAGACAAATTGTACTGCAAAAATCTGCTCTCAGGGACTTCTGCAGGGTGTTAAAGAGCAATAATGTCAATCTAGAGACTAAGGTGTGCCTGATCCAGGCCATTGTCTTCACAATTATCTGTTATGTATCAGAGAGCTGGGCAATGACCAAAAAGACAGAAAAAGGATTGATGCCTTTGAGTTGTGCTGGATAAGAGTATTGAACATATCATGGGCTGACAAGAGAACGAGCAGTTCTGCCCTGTAGAGGCTGAAGCCAAGCTGTTCCTTGGAGACAAGAATTTTGAAGCTCCATCTCAAACATTTTGGGCATATTGCCAGGAAGGACAAGTCCTTGAAGAAGGACATCATACTTGAAAAGGTGAAGGGACAGTGCAGGAGAGGAAGACCCCAGATGAATGGATTGACACAATATCTGGGGTAATGAGGATAAGTGTGTCAGAGACAATGAAATTGACCCAGGATAGAGCAGGTTTCAGAGGTATTGTGCACTATGCGTCGCTAAGAGTCATAGTTAACTTGGCAGCACATAACAACAAAAGCTTCCAGAAGAACCTGCAAAAGGAGCAGTGGTAACATGGATAAAACTGAGTCAAGCTTCTATCTGTTCATATAGGGTCCCCATCAGTAACATCCATAGTATCAAACAAATAGCTATATGATCAGACATGCCACCACACATGCTTCTGCACCATTTCTATGAATCATTAGCTCTGATATTGATTACAACTTGACTCACAGATTTTACTCACAGCTGTGGGGTCTATTAGGGAA